CTTCCTGGCAGATTGGTAGAATCTCTGAGGGTGCGGCGCTGATCGGACCCATGAGTTAGTCCTAAATTATGCCAAAGGTGACCTAAGGCTACCTTCGCAGGGTGTGCCTCGGTTTGTGTCAGGAATAAATTCCCCAGCTGGGTAGGAATCGATTCGAATCACCATCTCTCCTGGATAGGGAGAACTTGACTGAGCAGCGGCAACGTAGAAGCACTAATTGAAACTTGATGGTTATGATGATGCTCAAATTATTCTTATACCGGATATGGTTACTAATGATTGTTAGCTTAATCAAGTGATTGCTCTAGTATAGGTGCTAATCTAGAGATGCTTAATTGAATAGGTATTCAAATTGATGCTAGAGGTACTAAATCTCTAAGTTATATTACTTAAACTTTTATGCAAAATGTTGTCAAGCTAACTCCACCACTTAAAGGCATGCATACTCCTTTGTGTCTTATTATTTTGGTTTATGACGGGTAAGTCTAGCTGAGTACATTCTCGTACTCAGGGTCTTTTCCATTTGTTGCAGATGACGTGATGTACCATGGGTACTGAAAGCATTGCATAACTCCTGCTGTTGAGGGAGAGTAAGACCATGGGCATGGTCATTCTATATTATCTTACCTATGTGCTTTTGTTGGAGATGATCCTAAACTGGCTATGTATTTGAACTATCTTGATGATGTTTTAAAACTATATTACTTTCGCTACTTCTAAATTTGGGTTGTAATAACTTTATGAAACTCCGATGTATGAGAACTATTTGTGAACCTGTTGTAACATGTGACTGGTTGTGTTGAATCATGTACGATCTTGGTTTATACGTTGGTTTGTTTGAGATCCTTTGTGATTTCATCAGACTACCGGGTTTATATGGGTTCAAGTATGACGGTTTGGTCGCTTCGGTGATTGCTATTGTACTTGCGCTCTTATAAATTAGACGGTTCTGTTACAATCTCAACGGTAACTTCGCGCGCCAACGGTCACATGACGACCGGACGCAGCACAGCAAGGATGACCGGACGATGCAACGCCTGAGTCCGGTCATTTCCAGAGAGCTCCCTGAGCCTCTATTTTGCGACCGGACGTGTCCGCTCCTGCATGACCGGACACTGCAACGCTTGAGTCCGGTCATTTCCAGAGAGCTCCCCGAGCCTCTGTTTTGCGACCGGACGCGTCCACTCCTGCACGACGGGACGCTGCAACACCTGAGTCCGGTCATTTCCAGAGAGCTCCCTGAGCCTCTGGTTTGCGACTGGACGCTTCCGCTCCTGCACGACCGGATGCAGACCAGTGTCCGATTAGCTCTGCGCCCCCGCGCAAACTTTAGCACCGCCTACGTCACCGTACGTCACCCTGACCGGACGCAGCCACTGTGCGTCCGGTTACTTCTTCGCCCATCATCCGGTCATTTGACCGAGACCGTGCACTATATGCTGCCATTGACCAGACGTGCCGGTCCTACTGAGCCCAGCGTCCGGTCACACACAGTGACACCTTCTCGCCTTCGGTTCTTCACCAACTTCTTCTCCTTTGCAAATGTGCCAACACCTCCAAGTCTACCACCTTATGCACGTGTGTTAGCATTTTTTCACAAACATTTTCAAGGGTGTTAGCTTTCCACTAGATCCTAAATGCATATGCAATGAGTTAGAGCATCTAGTGGCACTTTGATAACCGCATTTTGATACGAGTTTCACCCCTCTTAATAGTATGGCTATCGATCCTAAATGTGATCACACTCGCTAAGTGTCTCAATCACTAAATCAAAAAGTTTCTATAAATTTCACCTTTGCCTTAAGCTTTTTGTTTTTCTCTTTCTTCTTTTCCAAGTCCAAGCACTTGATCAATACCATGGCATTACCATCATCATGTCATGATCTTCATTTGCTTCACCATTTGGAATGTGCCACCTATCTTATAATCACTTTGATAAACTAGGTTAGCACTTAGGATTTCATCAATTCACCAAAACCAAACTAGAGCTTTCAATATTACACATTCCCTGAAACGCGTACTTAGCCATGAGGGCGGCATGGTCCAAGTTGGATTCCATGCATTGGACACCCATGATCCCTTCATGAAGATGCTTCGCCTTGACACAAGCTCTCCGATGATGCATGTGTCGCCTCGAGATCCTCCCTGGGTTTGAGGCCCAACCCGACAAACCTGGCGCCTATAGTTTTGAGGTCCAAACCGCCAAACCCACTTGGAGACGCGTGGCTGCTATGCCTCCTTAATGATGTTGATGCATGCCTCGCTCGTCCTCGATCACCAAGTGCTCGCGCCCTCGGCTTGACTTGGTCCAATCATCATCTTGACTCCGGTCAACACACCATCTTCACCAACTTCCTCACATCCACACTTGCTTATCGACATCCCCAAGTGCTAGCTGTCCATGGTCCATCCTTAGGCCCTTGGTCCCTTGATGGAAGCCTCCACGTCCACCCTTCACTGCTCCCGGTCCTTCATGCGAGCATGAACTCACTTGACCTTCTCCATTGTCGTCGACCGTCTCACGCTGAATATCTACATATCACAAGACAAGAGACATGCACATACCCAACTCATGCCATGGTTAGTCTCAACACACTAAAGCAAATCTCTGATCACCTCTTAATAATCACTCATCACACATACACATAGGCACATATCCACCTTGGGCTCATAATTTCCCCCTTGATGAGTGCATTGTCAACACCAACAAAAAGAGATGAATCAAAAGCAAAAAAAAGTGTGATCTGACCAAAATCTGGTGAAAAGGAAGGATCAAGGTCATTTGAAATGAGCAAACTCGGTCCCCAAAGGCATGGGTAGCAGCTCGACGCAACCGAGAAGAAGCAAAGCTTGGTTCCCAATCACATGGACAAAGGCTCGACACAACCAAGCAAGAAAGCTAATCCTCAAGATGAGGCAGAAAGGGCTTAACACCACTAGCAAAAGATTAAGGGCCTGTTTGGGTAACATAGTTTACGGAAACTATAGGATCACAAAAACTATAGTTTTGTAAGCGAAAGATATACAAAACCATGGTTTAGAAAAAAAGAGGTCATGAGTGGAGTTTTTAAAACTCCAAAATACTACAATTTTAATGAAACCGTGGTTTTAGAAACTACAAAGTTTATGGTATCCAAACACCAAATAGCCTTTAAAAACCAAAGTCTTTTCGAAAACCATGGTATTTCTCCAATACTTTGATAATACTTTGTATCTAAACAGGGCCTAAAGTAGCTTAAAATTTCGAGAAACACGCTAGTCCATCCAGAAGAGGCAAAGGCTCAACACAACTAGCAAAGTGATCGAAATCAGTCTCAAATGCAACCCCCTTGAACAAATGCACTCTCCCAAATGAATGCACACTTACCACATGCCAACTCTTTGTGTAACCATTCTCCACCTTGGTGGCACATGCACACATCAAGACAAAACAATTTGCAACCCCCTCAAAATATGCTATGAAATGCATTGGGATGCAAAATGTGAGAGAGCTTTAGGAGTAAGTTATCAAGAATGATATGATGCTCAATGTTATTAGTTAATGTGAGGATTACCAGCAAATGCTCAAAATGATCATTTGATACAGACCAAGACTAGCAAAGCATTTTGAGCAAATTTTAGGCTTTAGAAAAGGTTCAACATTATAATAGCACCAAGAACGTGTATAGCAAGATAACAACAAGTGCTAAACATGATTAAACAAGGTGAACTAGTCTTATCCAAAGATCAGCGCAAACACCCACACATTAATCCAAGCCTTGTTGTTTTTTATCCTCAAGCCAACTTCTTACAACCAAGTGTTCACTTCTTTGGCAAACACATGAAGCAAGTAAGTGACCGTATTGGATATAACTTGTAGCACAAATCTCAACATTTCTGGGATATTTCAGATTTGTCATTCAAACTTGGTTGATCATAAGTTCGTCAATTATTCATCATTTTTAGGCACAAGTTGTGTCTTTGCGACACGAAAGAACTAATGTTCTCCCAAGGTTAATCATGGGCTAAACATTCGCAATGACATTCGGCCTTTGGCCCATAGTAGAAGCTCTAGCAAATCTAGCATAAGCATGGCAACACAAATTATCAATCAAGCCTACACATGCTAGGAGCCAAAATCAGAGGTGAACAAGTTTCATGTTTCGCCTCAGTTAAGCATCGTGTTCACATTAGGAAAACAAGCTTAGCTTTTCAAAGTTGTGCCATTTATCAAAATTAAAGAGCCTAAGCTTGCTCAAGCACCATCATGTACTACACATGATACGCATCACTAATAGCATCAACTCATTCTAAAGGATATACAAGTGAAGCTCATGGATGCTCTGATGTACATGATGATATGCAAGGCAAGGTATGGTACAAAAGCAATACCAAAAAGCTATCACACGAAACCAAAAGAAAATTCTAGTTTACAAAATCTTACAACCACCACTGTTGGCGTGGTGGCGGAGGGGCTGGGTGTGATTGTTGCCAATGTTGCGAGAGGAAAGGCGGCGAGCAACGACTTCCACGGGAAGAGGAACTGCACAACAAGAGGTAGAGTAGGCCAGCAAGTCGTGCGCATGGAAGCAGAGGTGCAGCATGGGTCCGAGGAGAAAGATACAGGAGAATAGAAGAGGGATGGATGACTAATTAATAATAATCTCGCATGGACTAAATGACAACGAGGTCCATATGTTAAGTGGATCCATGCGTTAAAATTGAGGAGCAGTTTTACCAAATGTTTTCTAACAATTATAGTCTCTTTTAGATTTAACTTACACCCATACACTGAAGAAATGGCATAAGCAGACACCCTACATGACCCTGAACATTATCTTATATGACTGGATCTTTTGGTACATAATATATACTCCTAGCTAGTACATTCTTACAAGCCAAGAGAATCTTGAATGCACAAACGCATGGGGTAGGGTTTCTCGGGCCACTATTTATTTGTCAAAAGTAGAGTATATATATGATGCTGCGTGATACACCTTGGGAAGGCTGAAGGCCCATTCTCATCTTGGTTCAAGCTCTGTGAGCGAAACCTCATTCGGCGACATTATCGTTGCTTTTGATTTGTCGGTGGACTGCAACTTCAGTGCCCTGTTATACGCATCCGAGTAAAGGTGTGAGTTGCCTTCCATCTTCTGAACGCAAAATGTAGGCCTGGACGGCACCTGGAGCGAGACTGTGTTGCTGCTAAGCATGACGTTTACAGATGACATCGTCGGCCTATCTGCAGGGCTGTCCTGAACACACAGCAGCCCGATGTTTATGAGCTTCGACATCTGATCTGGAGGAGCTCGGCGGCCCAGCAGGAATGGATCCAGCAATTCTTCGATTGTTCCTGTGCTCCAGTGCTCCCATACCTGCACATATGCGATAAATTATTTGGCCGTTACAAGAAATTTAGTTCTGAACATTATTCTTTGTCAGCTGCACAGAATTACTCACAAGACTTAAGAGGTCAACTGATTCCTCCGAGTTATCCAAGCTACTGTTTTTTCCTCCCTGTGACTATCTCCAAAATCAAAACACCAAGACTGAAAACATCTGACTTCACAGAATACTGCCCTTGCATCGCGTATTCAGGTGCCATGTATCCACTGAAATATGAACCTAACAGTTAGTATCTTAGGCTATATACCATACCAGTGTTACATATCTTGATATGCTTCTCCAAGGAAATGCAGTATAATATACACTCTACTTACTATGTTCCAGCGATATGACTAGTGACACCTTGGGATTGGTCCATCTCGAAGAGCTTTGCTAAGCCAAAGTCAGATATCTTTGGATTGTAATCAGAGTCAAGTAGCACATTGCTTGGTTTGAGGTCTCGATGAACTATCTTGAGTTGAGACTCTTCATGGAGATATTGCAAGCCTCGAGCAACTCCGGTTATAATCTTGAGTCTCTTCCCCCAATCTAGCTCTTTGCTTTTCATAGAATCTGCCATCCAAACAATAAACGTTTTATGTCATTTTTCAAAAAGATGGATCTACGCAGAGCAACAATGCTTCGTTTAGCATTGACTTCTCTCCTCCGCCCCCCCCCAAGTCATTAACCCTATTCTCTCTGTTTTTATTATGTACTAAAACATAAAATGGCAACATTTTTCCTACTTTTTATATCATTATAATATAACAAACTAAAAGTGCATGCCTAATAACTAGGTCCTTTCCTTTCAAAAAAAAAAACAACAACTAGGACCTTTGCAAACACTGCACTCTCTCATGTAACCAATGAAAAAAAAAAGACGTGCTTCATTATTGACATTTATGATGCTTGCAGATATTGTGAAACGGCTCTCTTTTGAAGGGAAACGTACCAAAAAGTATGGTGTCGAGGCTCCTGTTTGGCATGTATTCATACACAAGTATTTTCTCGTGTTCTGCCAAGCAAACGCCTACGAGCCTCACAAGGTTCTTATGTTGAAGCTTGGCGAGTAATACTAGCTCTGTTTTCAGCTCTTCCACTCCCTGTCTGGAGCCAAGCGAGAGCCTCTTCACTGCAATTTCTAGGCCATCAGGAAGGACTCCCTGCGCGGGTGAAATTAAAAGGCACTCAGAGCTGCACACACCAACTCGTCCAGAATTTTATCAACAAAAAAAAAATCAGAATTGGATATGATTTGTAGCTTATAAACCGCTCCGAACCCTCCTTCGCCAAGCTTATTGCTTTCAGCGAAGTTATCCGTTGCTGCCCGTAGGGTGGATAGGTCAAGAAGGAGCGAATCGATGCTTTGGATGTTGTCTGGATTAGTAGAATCTGTCGGGAAGAGAATAGATATATACGGCGTCACAGCTCACATACATAAGGTTTTCCCTACATGGAACTTGATTGCTGCTGCCTCCCTTTCAAATTGCAAGTCATTCTGGCTTTTTAAAGTAAATATAATGTACTCTATACAATGTTTTTAATTTTGGTATTGCAAAAAATTCGTCCACCACCGAAATTATCGAATTTCACAAAGTTCAGCCGAAATTTCATCATTTTTTTAGAGACTAGCACATGAAGTATGTTTTTTTCTAAAAGAATTTAGATTTAAATAAATATTAGTATGATTTATGACTACACATCTATTAAATAGAAGAATATACAATATAAACAATAAAAAATATGAGTCTAGAGTTATATAGCACATGTATTAGTGTATTACAAAATTTTGGATTTTTCTTTCAGCCACTACGAAATTACCGAAATTCGGCCGAAATTTCGCCGAAATTTCGAACCCTGACTCTATATCTACATATATAGCAAGATGTACATTATGTATAGATACATAAGCCGGTGTAATTTTCATATATACATCCTCTTAATTAGAACGTACGTCAATTATTACAAAAGTTTCAACAAAAAATCCACCCCAAGAAGTCATAAAGAGTGATTTCTTATATATAACTATAATATAACAATAGTTAAACAATATATTTTGGAGAAACGAACTGTGTTTATGTCTAAAACAGAAATGAAAATAACACCAATGGAGTATGTAAAAAAAATCACCGATACCCTGCTGGTGGGCCAGTTGATTTTATATATTGCGTGTGGTCACTACTACAATTAAACTGATCAATGAACTTAGTCAGACTTACATGGTTTTCCAGAGTCCTGTTGTGCTTCTGTTTTTCTACTCCGAAAACAAAAATACGTCACTGCGACAGCTATTAATATCGCAGCAGCTAAAGGCAATGCAATGGCCAAGACCAGTCCTGTTCTATCTCTTCTTCTCCCTGAAAAAGTGAAAGCAGTAGTACCAGCAGGGACACATATTAGCTCTCAATAAAAACTGGACCGTTGTCTTTGTTGGTAAAAAATTGTACCTATAATTAATTTTCCTTTTTTTATTATTGTTGGTATTATTTATTTATTATGTCAATAACGCACCAGGCGTACGCATCATTGCTCTGCTATTTTGGTAAACAGTACTATACTGTCCAGTTATCTTTAGGAAGGAAATCATGTATGGCCACTGGCCAGGCCAGAAACGGTACCTTCAAGATAAGTGGCTTCTGTTTAAGCGAAACTCACCTTGGCCAGTCACCGGTGGCTGTGGCGGTGGCCCGGGCGGCCCCTGGAGTTGTAGTAGCGGGCGGCCAGAGAAGAACTGATATGTCTCAAATCGGAAGTTGCAGCGCACTCCGAAAACTCTCCCGCCATGCTTCCCGGTGAAATACGTGGGCGTGAACGTCCTGATGATGTTCCCAAGGCATGTCCGGCAGTCCGCCGCCGTCATGTCCGGCGTGCACTGCGCCAGCGAGTAAATCATGGGGTAAGTCTGGTCAAACGGCAGTTCACCTGTGCCGAAGAGCCTGGCCGAGTTCGTGGCCGCGTAGTCAGCGGTTGCGTTGACGAGCCGGCCGGAGGCAGCGTCGAACGCTGCTGCCGCTGACGAGCTGACGTTGTCGAAGCTCCAGGCGATCATCTTCCCCCTGTTGTCGGTGGTGTTGGCCAGGAAGTCCCAGTCGGCGTACCGTAGGATGCAGGGGTCGTTGAACATGGTGGCTCCTTTCCTTAGCGCGCAGAGCTGCCGCGCGTACAGGAACGCTGCGGAGACGCAGCTCGCGCATGTGGAGGCGTTGGTGTCGCCGCGGCAGAGCGCAAGAGCGTAGACCACGTCCGGCCCCGTGCCTGCGGTGCCGGTGGCGAAGAGAGCTGGACACGACGACGCGTTGTTTGGGAGCACGTTCGCTGGTTGGTTTTTAGGCTGATAAGCCCAGCTGATGTTGATTCGTCGTAAGAGGAAAACACTATTGACTGACTGATAAACTCTGGCTGAAACCAACAAGTGAACAGGCTGTTCGAGCATATGGATGTTTGCCTGGTAGGCGCTGTTCTCCGTGTAGTTTCCAGAGGTGTCGTTGCAGAGCTGCCACGGCAACGGCTGTCCGATAGCGAGTGGAACGTGGTGGAAGACGAGAAGAAGAACGGCAGCAGAGGCAAAGAGGCGGCAGAGCATGGTTGTCGTCCTCGTCATCGCCATTGTTGCGATGTCCAGATGGCGAGGAGGAGCAGGTTAATAACGAGTTCCTATTTCTCGGGTCACTATGGGTCTAGACTAGCAAGTACTACTAGTCAAGGAAGAAGGGCATAGCAGGCTAAGCGGGGCAAGACCGCTAGGGTTGACTCTTGACGCTGATGCATAATAAGTAGGGTAATGGCCTAGGGCCCATTTTCCCGTGGAAAACTCATCTAAGATGGGAATAGATTTTCTCACGCTATAAAGAGTGAAATGCACCTTTTTTTTTCTTCATGTTCTCATCTAGATCCATAAACTCTTAAAATCATTATCTGGCTCCTTTAATTTTTAAGTGGTTCGCTCTAAATTTACCATAGGTCCAATCATAGACCTGAATTTGGGCTCGTTTGGTTCCGCTTTTAGTCAAATTGTTGATCACTCTCCGCGGGAATCGCTGAAAAGCATGCCAAACGGTCCGCGGTGATGCCACTACTTCTTCCTTTTGTTTCCACTTGCCCAACACCCACCCGACGCCACCGCTATCTCTCATCGCTGCTGCCAAGGATCGCAGCGTTGCAGACCCTCGCTGATCAGGCAGCTCTTATTATAGTACTTTGTTTGCCGATAACCGCACCTATACTTTGATTCCTGCAAGTGAAAGGATCTATGGCTAAAGGGGGTGAATAGCGTATTAAAAATTTCCTTTGAAGACACAACACTAGTCACAAGTGATCAGTACAAGGGACAATCCGAACAGCCACTACAAGCATAGCCTACAGCACCACAATGCAAGCCCCCTAAACAATTCTAGTAGGAAAGATTAACACTGCTAAAGCGCACAGACTGCAAGAGTCTAGCAACTACAACTAGTCAAGTTACAATAACCAAACTACTTGAACTACTCTATTCAACTAGGAGATCATTCTCCAATCTCACTAGATCCCTCTCCAATCTCACTCTAGATCACTCTCAAGTCAATCAAGAGTGGAGTGTATTTCTTGAGCTCTTTGTATGTGCCAATATCAGCCAAGGGTTCCAAGAGAACCCAAATGGCCGGTCACCCTTCTATTTATAAGCCAATCAAGAAAACTAGTTGTTGGGTTCTTGGTGGGTATTCTGCAAGGTCACCAGAAAAGTCCAGTGACCACCGAAGGAACGACACCATCCCCCAACGATCATTGTTAACCTACCTATGAGAACTAGACATCCGGGAAGCCTTTACTCTAGTGCCACAAAGCACTACCACCAAAGAAATCCAGTGGCATCAGAGAGCCAGCCAGCGCTGTACAAGTGCACTGCAATACCTTTTCTCCGATGAATCCCTGAGGGTACCACCGTGGTTACCCAAAGGATCCATTTTAGTCTTTTATCATATCTCACTTGACAACAACTTAGTTGACATGTTCTAATGAAGAAATTTCCACAAGCAGCAAGTACATATGCTAGGAATAAACTTTATATAGGCATGATTTTGGCATGATTTTATTTCAAGCTTTTAGTTTGATTTTCATGTAAGGCATTGTTAAATGTGTGGGACTCAGGGAAACATGTCAAAACTGGACAGAAGTGGTGCAAACCGGCATGCCAGAGTGACGGGAGGTCAAATGGTGCCAGGGTGGCATCGCCTGGCCTTTAGGGGGGTTGACCGACCCCCATTCTACTCAGTTTGCTCTGAATTTTGGCGTATGTCTTCATCTGGTTGTACACAACACAGTCGTGTCATGTTTGGTCATTTTTGTGCATTTGGGAGATCGCTCGACCTATGGGTTGGTCACCCAACCCGCACACTTGTCCCTTGGCAGATCTATTTCTTCATTCATATAAAAACACAAGTACATGGAGACAAGGACTCTTCTGATGACGAGCATGAGAAAGCAACAATTTATTGAATTTAAAGTAGACAAAGGCACATTACAACATTGAAAAAACAAAATGAATAAAACAAACGTAATGTGTCTAACTTATTGTGAGATGACCACGGGGATCTCAAGGTGAAGGTGGAAAGAAGAGACCCTCCTTCCCCATGGCCTCAGCGAGGCCCATCAGCTTGCCTATGCAAAGTGTACGGAATTCATGCTCTAAGCACGATAACTGATCCTTGGAACACTCTCTTCTAGTTTTCTATTTTTGATCCTAACCTTTCTAATGATAACTAGAAGATGCTCTAGAACGGGATTTGGAGGGTCATCCTCGCTATCCTCGAATTGCCCCGGTGGCCCACTAATCAGAGGTTGAGCAGGCCACTGTCGTATCTTGATTGTGATTGGAGAAGATTCAATTGATCCCTACATTTTCTTCTTATCCTAGGATGTGAGTGGTGGCCTAAGGACTTTTCACTATGCCAGAAATAATAATCATTGCCTGGTCTGTATCCCCCATAATTGTCGGAATTCATACCAGCATATGTTAATCGGTAGTTATGGAGGTGGCCTATCACTGTCGATTTGTCGACCCGACAGTAATAATAGTCTATCACCATCGAGGTCAAAGCACCAGCAGACAATGGTATATTGAGTATCACGTTTGAGGCATCAACCAGTAGTGATATGTTGAGTATCACTGCAGGGTCAAGGCATCAACCATCAGCGATATAATGAGTGTCACTGTTAGGTTGACACACGAGCCTACCCTGAAAATTAATATATCACTGTCGGCTCATACTTGAACCCGGCAGTGACACTCATTACATCAGCGCCACCTTGGTAGCACACCCAACATTGAATTTGTGACTGTCACTGCCGGCTCAGTAACACACCCGGCAGTGAGTATTATAATGCTCCAAATACACCAGATATATAATGCAGAAGACACCTATAATGAGCCAAAAATATAACGTATCAGAGAATTATAATGCACCAGATACAACAGATAAAATGAACTAGATACACAAGATTATTCAAGTTACATAGCACACCTAAAACATCGATGATAAATAAATACACGATATTTAGCTAGAATAACAAATAAAGCACTCTGGATTAGTTCTCACATCCATATAAAATGTAAAACTCTGATTTCTCTTCAAACACCTCGTCCATGAGGAACCCAGCAAGTTAATTGTTCTTGCATTCCTCTGATGTTGGACTCTAGCAGCTAATTTTCTTATTGGTCTCCTCAGTATCATTGAAGCAAAAAGGTATTAATTAGATGCACAATTAACATGTGTTACCAAAAACAATAGCATGTTTCGTTGAATTGATGAATGTAAATAAAATGGAAAGCATGGATTGCAACAGTTTTTCTCCGGCGAATTCGTGCATTTTATGCATCACGTAGAAACCTCTAAGGTTTGCTGGCTAGCGGTTGATGTAGGGTATAATTCTCCATAGTTTCTACCATGAAAGTTTTCTGGTACGGTCTATAATACAGCTTTTTGTTAATGTACTCCGTGAAGGCACTGTGTGGGATTATTATAAATTGAGAAGGTTGAATATATGTGTTCTATCCTTAAAATGAAAATGTTTCACGCTTCACTTACCTATTAAGCAAGAATTCAAGGTCTCTGATATGACTTATTGGCCTCCTCGAGTTGTAAACTCTCATCTTGCTTTCTTGTAGAATGATTTCTATGAGGACAAAATGGGCACTGCAATAACAGAAGTTCGATGCAAACTGGGCCCTACTAAAATAATAATATTGAGCAAGACAAGAAACATGTTGTTGACAACCAAAAGTGGCCAAAGCTTATAATGGACTCCACCATCATATTTCTATCGTCAAGATGATCAGAAAACATATTTGGATCATCTTATCTGGAGCCCGGACGAAGAAACGGCGATTCGGGAGTGCTAGCCCAGCCAGAACCGGCCAGGCCGGTTTGGGCAAGTTCTTCAAATGCAAGATTACCCTGTACCATTACGTTCCTCTCATCAAGCTGATCGAAAAACATATATGATTCGTCCCGTTCAGAGTCCAAACGAATTAATTGTGGTTTTCGGAAGCCGTTTTGCTATGGACGCGCAGCAGAACCGGACAGGCCAGTTCTGGAACCAGCTAGGACGGTTTGGCTGCAGTAGAACCAGCCAGGCCGGTTCCAGAACCGGCTAGGCTGGTTTGCCTGGCTGTAGGGCTGTGCAGCCCCCCCGCAAAAACTGGCTAGGCCGGTTCGGCAACCGGCTATGCCGGTTTGCTTGTGCAAGTCCGAACCAAACACTTTCCAAATTGATTTCTGGACGTGTTTTCGCATAGGAAACTTAGAGATCACGATCCAAAGATGTTTTCTATTGGGATAAGACCACCCCCCTCTATATATATGAGAGGATCATGGCCGATTGAATGATCCAACACTCAATCGTCAAAAAAATACATCTACTACCTAGTTTTACCCTTTTTCAACCCTCCTATTGTTCGTTGCATCTCTCCGCGAGATTCATCGGCATTCTAGGTGGCCTTGCTGGTCCCCTAGGCATGCTCCTCCCTGACGGGCCCTCCCAGGAGGCGTTCCCAGGCTTTTGCGGTGTTGGACGAGCTCTAGATCGGCCTAACCGTTCTCTAGATCGGTTTAGTCGTTCTTGGAGTTGTTTGCTGCGTGTTTCAGGTTGTGTGCAACCTAGGACGAGCTAGCCCTTTTTGGTGTGTGGCTTAGATGAAAAGCTAACGTTAAAACCCTTTTTGGCGACTCCGATGGTGAAGAGATGAAATCAAAAGACCAAGATGCCAGAAAATCAAGACAACAACGGAGGTGATCTCACCGATGTGTCCAATGAGAGCAACATACTCCGTCCTACTACTCTTGATCAACTCCCAGAGGTGCTTCGCAAGGAGGTGGAGGCAGCAAACGTTGCTAATGTAGCACATGCATTAGCAGCTTGCTCGTTCAAGACCCGTTCAAGCAAGGTGGCTGATCTAGACAAGCTTGTTAACTTCAGAATCGCCACCTTCGATGGAACCTCCACTTCTGCACCTAAGTTACAACCTGCTGCAAGTGAACCCCCTGCTGGTCTATTTACTCTGGAGCAATTTAAGTGGATGGAAGAACAATTACAGGCACGGGAAGTTAGTATTATCAATCGGATGAATACTAT